ATTGGATTTTTTTTTCAGTCCACGCAGGGGAAATCATCGGTGGCCATGAGACCGTGCCACATAGCAGACCGTACATGGTGCTTTTACAGCAGAACAAGGCAAATGGTCATACAGCCCACTGTGGTGGCTTCCTTCTGAATGAGAATTTTGTGTTGACTGCAGCCCACTGCCAAGCTGAGTAGGTTAAACACACTTTATCTACCAGGGATTCTAATGCCCCTAATAAGATAAGTCTTGAAACGGGGAAATATGTTTTATGATGGCTCCATATATGTTTATTTTATTGAACACAATAGATAAATAAATAATCTCTTTATTGTCACTTAACAGTTTTGCTCTTATTGTATTTCAGGACATACGAAATATTCCTGGGTCTTCACAATTACCATCATAAGAATGGTGTACAACACACGCATGTGGAGAAAGCCTTTCCGCATAGCAACTACAATGCAAATACTTTTGAAAACGACATAATGGTCCTTAAGGTAGGAGAAGCAAATGACTTCATTTGTGCTTAATAACATGCCATAAGTAATAATGGTTAATTACTGTAATGATTTATCATTTAATATATTTAATTTAGATAAGCATCAAAATGCTATAATTCTAATATCTAATAAACCATTTTTTAATCTCTGCTCTTTCCTTAAGTTGAAGTCCAAGGCAGAATTTAACCATAAAGTGAAGTCCATTGCTCTCGCAGACCATGGTGATGGCTCTCTGCCACAATCATGTGTCGTCTCTGGCTGGGGAAGAACAAAAGAAGAAAGCAATATGTCTGTGAAACTCCTGGAAGCGAATGTAACCCTGACTGATGATGAGAGGTGTGCTAAGGAAATGTTTTACTGCTCTAAGGGCGAGACTGGACCAGGCAAGGTAAGTACTTTTTTGTAACTTAACATGAAAAAAATTAAACTTTTAGTCAGAAACGATCATTTTTTTGCACATGTATTAATGCTTTTCAGGGAGACTCTGGTGGTCCATTAGTCTGTGGAGATGGAAAGGCATATGGGGTGGTGTCCACCAGCAGTAG